AACGAGATGGATCGGTCAGGTGGCATCATTGATGGCATCAAGTGTGGCGGCAGTAGTGAGGTTAGCCCAGGATCGGACATTGTTTTTTTCTGCTGTTCATGGGGTCGCTATGAGTCAGTTCCGACTCGATAGCACCTGACAACAACAACAATGTATATATATAGAGAGACAGAGAGAGAGAGACAGAGAGAGAGAGAGTGTCCTGGTGTAGCGCTGTGGGCTAATGCAGAATTGGTTTGAACCACAAGGTCAAGTTTAAGCTCATCAGGTGCTCCTCGGAAACCTTATGCAGGGTCGCTATGGGTCGGAACCGACATGACGGCACTTAAGTACTAGACCACAGTTTGAACTGCAAAATGATTGGTTAAGACTCTCCAGCCACTTCTTGGAAAACCTGTAAAGGGTCACTTTGAGTCGGAACCAAGGCACCTAACAACGTTTGTGTGTGTGTAACCAGCTCAACAGCACATAACAAGAACAATAAACACACATCAAATCCATTACTGTTGAGTCAATTCCAGCTCTGAACAACCCTATAGTAGTACAGAGTTTAGGGTTTCCAAGGCTGTGATCTGTACAGAACCACACAGCCTCATCTTTTCCCCAAGCAGCAGCTCGTGGATTCATACTACCAATCATTGGGTTAGCAGTGGAACACTTACCTTTTAATTCCATTATTCACCAACTTTCTTATCTATGATACACTATAGCATAGTGGCTACGAGTTGGGTTGCTAACCTCACGGTCAGCAATTCGAAACTACCAGCTGTTCCGTGGGAGAAACAGGCTTTCTGCTCCTGTAAAGATTTACAGCCTCAGAAACCCTGTACAGGGTCGCTGTGAGTCAGAACCGACTCCACAGCACACAGCCACCACCACATGTAAGGTAGGAAGGAGTCTTAGTGTAGTGCTTTAGGATAATCGCTGGAGTGCTAACCGCAAGGTTGGTGGTTCAAACCGACCATATACAGGGTCACTATGAGTCAGAATTGACTCAGTGGGACAACAACATAAATAAAGTAACCATTGACTGTGGGTTCCTAGTCCTTTCTGTATAGTAAATGTCTTTATAAAACTTGTAATAGATTTATAGGGAGCCCTGGTGGTGGTGTAGGATAAGCATTGGACTGCTAACATCAAGGTCAGTAGTTCAACCAGTGTCTCTGAGGGAAAATGATGTTTACAGCCTTGGAAAACCAATAAGTAAGTAGAGTTCTGTTATTCTTTTTATGTACCATAGAATTAGAATAATTTCTTATTTAATCAATAAACATTTTCTGGTTTCTGGGTTGTTGTAATGATTACTGCTTATATAAAGTTGGCATTTATACTTTAATGTTTGTCATCTAATAGAAGCTCCTAGTTTTAGGCAATAAGTAAGCATTCTCATTTGGAGAACAGTTTCACTTAACACCAGTGACGATTTGGTTCTGTTTCCCCAGGCTATGAAAGGAGAGAAAGGAATTGGTGGAGCAGTCACAGCTACAGATGGACTCAGTGAAGAGCTGACAGAGGAGGCATTCAGTAAGCAGAGCTTTAGGGTACATTCATGTAGTCACATTGGTTCCCACAGGTCATGTCGATGGTTAGCATTGGTTCCTGTACTGCCTGCTAGCACTGAGTTATTCTCAGAGAATTCCATGGTGAACATCTGTTATCAGTACATGCCCTTATATTTGATGTCAGTGATTGGTAAACCTAAAAATCTGGTGATTTCAGTAAATTTGAACTGAAGATTTCTTTTTGAAATCTTCTGACTAGTTTAAGGTGATCAGATTTTTCATATAAGAGATATGTGTCTATACTTGACACTTATTTCTTACTTAAAACGTGTTGCACAACTTGTTTATTGAGTGATGTAGCTGTAACCATGAGTCAGAAACTCCCGGCCAGCCTTTTTGGAGATTTCTATAAATGGGTGATTAGCGGAGAGTACACTTTAGGGATATGAAAATTCAGACAGTTGAAGAATGTAATAGGGAAAAGTGTGCTTTGGAGGGAGCAAACTTTGGAAGCATATGATTTTACCCAAGATTACATTGATAAGTAAGAGACAGGATTGTAAATGAGACATGAATGGCCCAGAAAGCAGATGCAGTTCTCGTCCTTGCTTTTGTCTTTTAGCTAACCAGTTACCAGCTGGCTTAATCACTGCAGATGGTCAGCAACAAAATGTTATGGTTTACACTACATCATATCAACAGGTAAGGTACCTTCTTTGTATTTTAAACTTTTTAAAAAAATTATTATATCCACTGATTTTTATCACAGATAGTTAATTTCAGCACATTATTATTAAGAACTTGGTAAAATAGAGAAGGTTGTTAAAAATTCTGCTTTCTCCAAACATGTATCACTATCTTCACGGTTAAAAATAGATAGCACATGTTTATGGTTACATGGATAATTTTGGACAGATTCACAAGAAGTTAGTTTCCTCTGGTTAAGAGATCTGAGGTAGAGGGAATAGAGTTTTATGGTAGAAAGACTTCTTTTTCATTGCATATTGTTTTTATTCTTTGAATGTCTGTTACGTGCATAGAGTACTTTTTATAAAACTTTTTTTTCCTTAAAATTTGTGTAATTAAAATTTTCTATTCTTAGATATCTGGTGTTCAACAAATTCAGTTTTCATGATCTGAAAAAAAAAAGACAGATGGGAATGTTTCTACGTGAACGAGGCTGTATGATTCCGCAACAGAGCCGTGGGCAGTGCTGACCGGGAAAGAGGGTCCCTTGTACATTAAATAGCTGTAATGTAGCTTCCTGATGCTTGACTAATTGAGGTGTGAATTCTGACTGGAGAATCTTTTTCATGAATGATTTTAAAGAAAAATTTGGATTTTAAAGGTATTAAAGTATTTTTGTTTTGTACGAGAGTTTGTTGCTCTGTATGACTCCTGTATGCATTGTATATTGCAATTTATTACTGTCAAGAGATTTGTAGACAGTTTCTTATTTTCATATTGAATCATGTTACTTTTGTAATTCAAGTAAGCAGCTGGGTTAATTCATGATATTTACCCTTTTAATAAAACATAAGGGTAGAGTTCATTTTGAATGCAAGTTGCCTTTATTATAAATTTCAGTTTGTCTTTGTTCTATCTTGCATGATAACCTAGCTAGATTTTTAGCTTTTGATGTATTTATTAAAATTAAAATATTTCTTTTCCTTTGGTAATACATTCTTAGTTTAAGCAGCATCATTTTTTTTTTTTTTAAATGTAATTGAATTAAGTGTGAATGCTAAAGCAAATCTTGTCTACCCTATTAAACCTGGTGCCCATTAACAGTGTTTACACTCTTTGTTGTGCCTGTTAAATAGTTTGAGCTACTGGAGCTTTTTGTTCAGACTAGGTTTTGCTTTTGATTTTTATGAGTGTTGGAATTCATTCCCATTCAGTTTGTAATCCCACTGCTCTTGAAATGGTATTACTTCCATTCTGTCTGTGCTTTAAACAAAGCATAGCTTCAAATATTGAATTCCAAAAGCAGAATTTTATAGTCTGATGGCAAATATCCTCATTTTTACCTTTTCATTGAAATGTCAAGTTTCCTATTATACTATGGGAACCAAGAATCCTCAGACTCATTGTGTGTACAGACCTTTTGCATGGGTGAGTGAGTGAAATGAATGGAGTGGATGCTATGAATGTTGTGAAATAGAAGCCGCCAACTCTACTGTGCTGTCTTCTTGATCTTTGCAATAAACTAAAGTTAGATAATGTAACTTTGTATAATTTAGTATTATGTACTTGAGTTGTTCTTTTTTATTTTAAGGTAAAGATCTGTATTTCTTTATCCTTGTTTGGTGATAATTGAGTTTTGGTTTTAAGTATTCACGATTGATAATTGTACAGTTTGGGTGAGCATCTTGGAAGGACACTCAAATTTATAAGGTAGAAGTGGGCTCCAGATTGGGGCTGAAAGGAAACACTGACTTTGCTAGAAGGAGCCTTTGTAGACAAAGTTAGGCAAATCCGAGGATAATTACTTCTCTCACTCCTTCAATCATCATTTAAAAAATAATCTTGATTTACAGAAAATGCAAATAGGCAAATAAAAGGGGTGTGGGATTGGAACAGAAGCCACCATCATCCTGCTGTGCTGAAATAACCAATGTTAATGTCTGAGTAGATATCATGTGTCCTTTTACTTTGCTAAATATGTATATTTTTTTATAAAAATGGGCTCATACTGTGCATACTGTTTTATAACCTGCTTTTTTCATTTAATATATTGTGAACATCTTTCCATTAGTCTTTTTTATTGGTTTATTATTCTCTTGTATGGCAGAACCATAAATTAATCCTTTATTGGACACTTCAACTATTTCACAGAATCTTGAACTAAAACTTACCCATGACTGTTTTCTTAAAATAAATTATGAGAAACAGCATTACAGGGTTAACATGCAAAATGATAAGATTTTTGATGCTTATACGCAGGAGCTCTGGTAGCGTAGTGGTTACGAATCGGGCTGCCAACCTTAAGGTCAGCAGTTCGAAACTACCAGCCACTCCGCGGGAGAAAGATGAGGCTTTCTACTCCCGTAAAGATTTACACCCTCGGAAACCCTGTACAGGGTCGCTATGGGTCGGAACCGACTTGACAGCGCTTAACAACAACAACAACATACGTGGGTACATCTAAAATTTATTCCTTTTCATTCAGGCTTCAGGAGGTTTGTGGAAAAATTCACCTTTTCATTTCATTTTTTCATGAACTTTTTGTCTCCCCTCCCTCATATAGCTGATAAAATCACATGCGCTATGATTACCAGATCCTCTAAAATGAAAGAAAGATTGATGTATTTTTAGTAAAGAATCAAGATAAAACAACTCATACTAAGTTTAAGAAATACTTAAACCAAAAACCAAACCCACTGGGATTGACTAATTGCAACCTTGACTAGGGTTCCCGAGATTGTAAATCTTTACAGGAGCAGAAAGCATCTTTCTCCCACATGTACTGTGGTTAGCAGTTCAGTGCTTATCCTACAGCCCTACCAGGGCTTCTTAAGAAAGACTTAGTGAAAAGGAATTTGACCACTTTAAAATCTGTATAAATATATACCAGAACCAATTTCTAAAATTACTCATTTGTTGGTTGTAGTTAAGCACTGCTGGCTGAGTCAGTTCTGACTCAGAGCAACCATCTATAGGTTTTCTGAGGACTAGAAGGTGGATTTGAACCACTGACAAGTGTTTGTATAATTCTGTAAACACTGCATTTATAAAGAAGAGACGTGGGTTTCAGTGACTAGGTCATAGATTCAGGAGGGACATGAGTAACTTCGTGGTGCTGTAGGGTAAATAGTAGACTGCTAATCCAAACATCGGTGGTTCTGATTTACCAGCCACTCCTTGGAAATCCTATACAGGATCTGTATGAGTCAGAATCTCCTCGACGGCACTCAACATCATCCCACAACTACCTCAGTAGAGCAGAGATGGCTGAAGTCCAGAGAGAGCTCTTTTAAAAAATTTCTACCCTCCTAAGTATGTTGTCCTAAGCTATTTGTACTTTCTTTTCTCCTAAAGTATATAATACCTGCTGTGTTTTTCTTTTCTTCAAAAAACATACTTTATTAACGTTTCTGAACTGCCTTGGTGGGTTATAAGAGTACCAGCCCTCACGGTCATCGAGTCCACTCTGACTCGGTGATGCTACAGAACAGAACAGAGCTGCTCCACGCCATTCCCAAGGCCGTCAACCTGGACGGGAGCAGACTGCCAGATTTTTCTGCCACGGAGTAGCTGGTGGGTTTAAAATGACCAACATTCAGTTAGAAGCCCAATGCTTAATTAACCCTAAAGAAATATCTGTTACCTTTATACTAATTAAACATAATTATAAGGGCCTGACTAAAACGGATTTCTACAGTAGTAGATGCTGTTAGGAGTCCTAGTGTGGTGTTGCAGGATAATGCACTGGGACCGCAAGGTTGGTTTGAACCGCAAGATTGGCATTTCAAACTCACCAGCTGCTCCTTAGAAACCCTTTACAGGGTCGCTGTGGGTCAGAAACGACTCATAGCGACCTTGTATAGGGTTTCGGAGAAGCAGCTGGTAGGTTTGAACCACTAATCTTGCGGTTCAGACTGACCTTGCTGTCCAGGTCCAGTGCAATAGCCTGCAACACCACACTAGGAATCCCATTGTTGTTGTTAGGTGCCATCGAGTCGGTACTGACCCATAGCAACATTACACACAGCAGAACGAAACACTTCCCGATCCTGGGCCAACCTCACTACTGTTGACACACTTGAGTCCATTGATGCTGCCACTCGGCCAATCCATCTTGCTGGGGGTGTCTTCCTCTTTTTCTCTGACCCTCCACGTTACCAACCATGATATCCTTCTCCAGCAACTGGTCCCTCCTGATAATATATCCAAAGTATGAGAGACAAAGTTTGGACATCTTGGCCTCCAAGGAGCACTCTGGCTGTACTTCATCCAAAATGGATCTATTGGTTCTTTTGGCAGCCCATGGCACTTTGAATATTCTCCAACACCATAACTCAAAAGTATCAATTCTTCTACGGTCTTCCTTATTCACTGTCCAGCTTTCACATGCATATGAGGTTATTGAAAATACCATGGCTTGGGTCAGGCACACCTTAGTCCTCAAGCTGACATCTTTGCTCTTCAACACTTTAAAAAGGTCTTGTGCATAAGATTTGCCTAATGCAATAAGTTGTTTGATTTCTTGACTGCTACTTCCGTGAGTGTTGACAGTTGATCCAAGAAGAATGAAGTCCTTGACAACTTCAATCTTTTCTCCATTGGTGGTAAGAATGGTGTTTATTGGTCCAGTGGTGAGGATTTTTGTTTTCTTGACATTTAGATGTAATCCATACCAAAGGCTGTGCTCTTTGATCTTCATCAGTAAATATTTTAAGTCCTCTTCACTTTCAGAAAGCAAGGTTGTATCATCTGCAAATCGCAGGTTGTTAATGAGTCTTCCTCCAATCCTGATGGCACGTTTTTCTTCATATAACCCAGCTTCTTGGGTTATTTGCTCAGCATACAGGTTGAATAAGTATGGTGAAAGAATACAACCCTGTCTCACACCTTTCTTCATTTTAAACCATTCAGTGTTCCCACGTTCTGTTTGAACAACTGCCTCTTGGTCCAGGTACAGATTCCTCATAAGCACAATTAAGTGTTACAGAATATTCCTACTTTGCAATGTTGTCCATAGCTTGTCATGAGCCACACAATTGAAAGCCTTTGCGTAGTCAATAAAGCACAGGTAAACATCTTTCTGATAGACTCTGCTTTCAGCCAAGATCCATTGGACATCAGCAATGATATCCCTCTTTCCAAAGCCTCTTCTGAATCCGGCTTGAACCTCTGGAACTTTTCTGACAATGTATGATTGTAGCCGTTTCTGTATTACCTTTAGTGAAACTTTACTCACATGGGATATCAAAGAGATTGTCCAATGATTTCTGCATTGTGTTGGGTCAACCTCTCTTTGGAATGGACACAAATATGGATCTCTTCCAATCAGTCAACCAGATAAGTTATCTTCGAAATTTAAAGTAACAGTTTTCCACTTAAAACCAAACGGCTACCACTTGTCTGTCTGTCTGTCATACTGTGCTGGCTTGTGAGTTGCTATGATTCTGAAAGCTATACCACCAGTATTTTAAATATCAGCAGGGTCACCCATGGTGGACAGGTTTCAGATGAGCTTCCAGACAAAGACTAGGAAGAAAGAGTGACAAACTACTTTCGAATATTTAGTCACTGAAAACCTTATGAATAGCAGAGAAACACTGTCAGACACAGTGCTGGAAAATGAGCCCCTCAGGTTGGAAGGCACTCAAAATGCGACTGGGGAAGAGCTGCCACCTCAAAGTAGAGTTGACCGTGATGATGCAAATAGAGTAAAGCCCGGGGGAGAAAAGCCCGTGGGACCTGCATTTGCTGATGGGGTACAATTCAAAATGAAGACAAACAGCTGTAAACATCCATTGAAAATTGGAACATGGAATGTATGAAATATGAATCTGGGAAAATTGGAAGTTGTCACAAATGAAATGGAACACATAAACATCGATATCTTAGGCATTAATGAGCTGCAATGAACTGGTATTGGCCATTTTATAGCTGATGACCACATGGGTTACTATGCCGGAAATGACAAATTGAAGAATGGTGTTGCATTCATTGTC